ATGCACCTAGAGTATTGCATGCCAGAAAGGTAAAACCTCTGATGGGTGGAGTTCATTCAAATAGGTTTAGCCTCTCGGTTTCCGCAGACTAACTGAGAAAACTTTGGATAGCTTTCACAAAATATTGCTGGTCTTGAACAAAAATCAGGATAAACTTTTCAGGATGTTTCTCATTATTTTAGTGATGAAATTAAGGTTCAGCCCAGTCAACTGAGAGAATCTGCAGAAGGAAATGGAAGAATTTATGAAGAGCAAAGGCTGTTAGAAGAAAGTTTTACTATTCACTTGGGTAAGTAAAGTAAACTGACACCAAAACCAAACATAATAACAGATGCTTATAATGGATATATCCAAGCTATGTATTATTTACAGCGTTTAACTGTCAATGTATATGATAGATATAATTTGTAAATGTTTTGTATATGATAGATATAATTTGTAAATGTTTTGTACTAATTCTTTACATATGTAAGAGAAGTACTGTATGGTATAAACTGTATCAAACAGTATCTAGATACCTGAAATATACCTAATGGAAAACATTCTTGAAGCAAGTTTTTGTCCACTCTAGCAAGGTGACTAGTATAGAAAAGCACACTAACATCAAAACAAATAGGAGTTAAAAATTATATTTTAATTTTTCTTATGTTTGGTAAGACAATGTGGGTGCTAGATTCAATTGCCATGATAAATTAACAGAAAAAATAGATGCTTAAAATTTTTACTTTTTGTTTATGCAATGGAGACTTCTTACACTGTCTGTTTCGATTGCATTAGAATTTAATCTCTAGCCTTATAATAGGCAATAAGGCCCATTTTGGGTATTATCTGTGGCAGTATGTGAAAATATTGGATTTTTATTCTTGCTTTGTAAATTACTGATATGTATGTAAAAGTGGGTATGTGGTTAAGAACTTTACTTGTCTGAGTATTGTTGCTTATATTTCCCATATAGATATTTTTCACAAAAATTTAGGGGAATATTTTTATCCCTTGCATTTTAATAACAATCCTGAGTTTCCTCTTTTGCCGTATGTGTTAAAGTCATTTATATTCTGTACAGGAGCTCAGTTGAAGACCATGCATAACTTGAGATTACTGAGAGCCGATATGCTGGATTTCTGTAAACATAAGCGCAATCATCGAAGTGGAGTAAAACTTCACAGACTTCAAACTGCAATGTCTCTCTATTCAACTTCTCTCTGTGGCCTGGTTTTATTGGTAGATAACCGTATCAGTTCATATAGTGGCATCAAAAGAGGTGAGCCCTCTAATGAGGTGTATCATGTCAGTGAAAATAAATGGTCACTTAAAAACTTGCCGTCTTCTCTCACAAAACATATTCCCTGTAAAATCAAAATTTACTGGAGATCGTAAAGTTTTGCACATGGTGTTGGAAAAGGGTAACAAATACAAAAAGAGACAAGGGTAAGGATAGGGGAGAGAGTTGTGCTCTGACTTGCTGTTATCTCTCTCATCTGTTTCCTAGGTTTTGTTTTTGAGTAAGGAACATGTTAGAGTGAATAGCTCAGTGTTGATTTTCCTGCCTTAGACTGACTTATTATCAGTAGGGGCTTCTAACTCTCCAGTGTTAGCTTAGCATACTGGAACGTACTTGCAAAGATGAAAATGAAATATGCTAAGCTTTTAAATTCATAAGTAAATGTAAAAAACCCCATATACTTTAGATACCTGCAGCAGTATGTATTCCATTAAAAATTAACAACAAGAATATTACTTGTCTACTTCTGGAAAGCTTGATTAGTAGCCGTTTTAAGTGTATGTCTTTTGAGTAACTGGACACTATGATGAAGGTGTTCTGTATCAAGGTTAACCAGTGAAACGTGTTTGTTCATGTTCCAATTTTGATCACGGAGGCTTTCTCTGAACCACATGATTGACTTCCCCACCTTCCTCTTGGAGTTTAATAGCAAAGTATTTACTCTTGAAATGTCTCTTTGACTGGAATCACTATTACTTGTCATTCTAGCATGCTGTAAAAAAATAGACTGATATTCTTTGAAAACAGCGTAGAAGCAAGAAGGAAAGGGAAGTGTACCAGTAAAAATTACAGTCACACTTGTGCTGTTTATGGTTTCCAAGTTGCTTAATTCTGACTGTATTATTTTATATTTGTACTAATTTTCAGCTACTTTTCTTTACTGCTGTAATATTTAAATTAGTAACAAATAGAAAAGATTTGTTTTTATACTAATCTTAGGTGACAAGAGAAGGCAGACATTTAAGTAATACTGTAAAACACAAAATTGCATCTTCCAGCCACTAGTTGGTTCTTGCAGCCACAGTAGAGGGGAAAATAAGAGAGTGTATCACAATCCGTAAAATACAATCCTCAATAAATTTTGGTTTCTTTGAGTTCCAAAGGGACTTTGGTGAACTTAACTGTGGGCATGTTCCACAGCTGTCTGCACAACCATTCTTTTCAAAAACGTTGCAGGAATTAATGTTTCATGTCTCAGCTACTGTGACCTAGTCAGCTTTATTACTTAACACCATCAGTGAATGTCTGATTTTACTGAGAACCCAAATCACTATAGGCAGCAACGGAGGTTTAGGCACATTTCTTTTAATCCATTCTGTGGTGAGAGTGGTAGCTTCTGGCATAAGAGCAGTAATAAATAACTTTGAGGGGAGGCTTCACTCTTAAACATTAAAGCTGTTTGTTGCAAGAGCACTATGCAGAACCAATTCTCCTTCCTGAAAGGTTCTTTAAGAAATAAACATGCTAGGGGGTTTAAAGGTTCATAAAACTGCTGTATAGAAGACATTTAAATAATATGTTGATACTGATATTTAATAGACAGGTAGTGGCTTGTGCAGTCTAAATTTCTGGGTTACAAAAGTGCAGAAACAATTTTCTGCTTCTCTTTTAAAGCTGGGGAAGAATACAAACCTAATAGTCTTTATTTAGTGATAGGCTAGAAGCTCTTTCAAACCTCTATGAGATTTTCGAAGGTAGTTGGAGTTAATAGTTTCTTTATATATTGTATGCATTGCGTAGCTCAAGTCTCTTATATTAGGACGTTGTAAGGCTACTATGACTCGGGTTTTGAGTAGGTGTAGCACACTCAGACAAATGATAAACTAAAATTAAAGTTAATTTTAATTTAAATACGAGAGATTTTTCATTTGTTTCTTTCAAATGAAATGTGTTATGACCTTATTTTATCTTGATACACACAGAAGACACAATCTCCTGGAATATGAGCTTCTTCCTCCCTTGGTTTTGGACACCAGAATTTAATAAAGCCTTTTGAAAATAGATTTTTGTGATGGAGACTTCATGTGAAGAGATAAAATACATTAAGATTTTTGTCTTTACCCTGCCTGTTCCTGTTCACAGGAATATACAGTGGTCTCCAGATAGGTAATCAGAGTACATTGAGAACTTTAAGGAGGATTAGAGCAGGTACCTCAGAATGGGAAGCAAGTAACAATTGCTTAGTATAGTCCAGCTCCTTGCTAATAGCTTGTTTTGGCTCCCCCTGACTTGCTTGGAGAGACAGCTGGACGTTAGGATAAGGAGTTTAGAATACCAGTCACAGAGGCAGTATGTTATGATCCTAATTATCAGTATTATATTTCCAAGTCTGACATAATACTTACCAGAAAAAAGAACTTGCACCTCTTTTCAACTGATGACATTTTTCTTTAGTTTTCAGATCTGTATTTTGAGAACTAAAAGGAAAGAACTCTAGTTCCATCTTTCCAGATACATTGTTGATGAATTTCATTAATAGCTCTCATTTTTCAGAACAAACTGGAATGCTGTTGTTGCTGTTGGAATTACCTGTTACGTATGTTTTAATAAAATATCACAGATTAAAGGAATGTTAGTAATAAGACATCTTTTTTAAGATACAATTAAATTTAATACACATCTTGCTGTTATTTTGAGATTTTTTGGCCTGGGTGATTTTGTCTGAAGAGCAACAGTGCTCCAGGTTTTTTTTCCCCCAAGCAATTAATTCCTTTCAAAAAAAATGCTTTGTCTCTGACATAGTTTTTTTAGAATTTAAGGATGAGTACAGAAGGGCTTTGTCTGGTTTTGGAGGGGGTTGCCTTTGTAACTGGTCTTGCTTGAACAGTAGAGCAGAATTATGTTACTAAGCACAGCATTATGATGGAGATTTTAATCTTTTTTTATTTTTCCCTCTAGATTTTGCAACTGTATGCCAAGAATGCACGGATTTCCATTTTCCTGGAATTCAAGAACAGCTTGAAATTGTCCAGAAGGTTGTACTTAAGGCCAGAACACAGCGTAGCAGTAAGTCAAAAAGACATCATGGTCAGTGACAACCAAAATTACTTTCCTTGAAATAGGATAGAGGTCAGATGAATGTTTATGGTTATGGGCAAGTTAATTTCACTCTTCTTCAGTTACCTGATCTATAACATGGAACATTCTAGTTTGAAAAACTGTGAGAAGTCTGCATGAAATTCTCTCTTCACAGACAACATGTTCACCTGATGTCTTTGCTGCCATAACAGACATATCTTACAAAAAAAAAAAAAAAAAGTGTAAGTCCTTAGGTTCCGATCACACTTTAACAGCATAGGAAGTGTGTGCGGCCATTGTGCTTTCCTCTGCAGTCTAAACTGCCTATAGCAACACAAACTTTATCTGACTTGACTTTTTTATTTCTATTTAAACTTTAAAAATTGCAGGAGTTATGACTTTTTCCCTTTCTTATAAATGAACACTAAAAACTGAATAATAAATTGACTAAATGTATGTACTTTTTAGCACTGACCAAATCCTTGTGAATGGTTTACTTTGCAGTTATATTTACAAATCGCTGTGACATTTTCTGACCACATGGTGTTAAGGCGGTACTTGTACATTATGAAACTCTGTTTTTCTTGCAGAGAACTACTTATGTGGTTTAAATACGTCAGTAACATGAATAGATTCGTAAGAGTACATAGAGAAACAAGTTTTCTTAGGAACCTGCATATTGCTGTAGTCTTGAGTAAAATACTGAAAGCTGTTTTTATGCTGCGGATTTATGTAAATCTCTTTAAAATTTTTCTTGTAATACTAGGAACAAAATAGCTAATTACTTAAAAAGCAATATCAAAGTACTACGTAGTCGTGGGGGCAATTTAGAAGGTATAGTATTGTGTTTGAGAATATTGTGCTCTCTTTTGTGCAAATTAAAAGGTATTGTAGGATAATTAAATAGGAAAGCTAATGATTTGAGATAGGATTCAGTTCAGTGTCTGTTGAAGACAGCAAAAACACTTCCTGTTCATTCCCCTGCTTTTTGGGGACTTTATGGTAACTTTATGGTAAAAATTCAAGCCAGATACCGTCTCACAACATCAAGCTTTCATGCCAAAGCTTGATTAATAGGTGACATGTTTAATATTTGTGTTATGTATTTATATACAGAAAACAAAACTAGTGGAAATGAAGATAAACTAAAGAATATTGAACGAAACCAGTCAAATATTTTTCCGGGTGAGTTCTGTTGCATTTTCCCCCTTTTCTTAAAGCAAATTGTGTTTTATAGATGCACATTTTTAGCTCTAAAGTCAGAACATAAATTATAAACTAAACCCAAGTTGACCTCAATCAGAGGAGAAGGATGTTCTTGTGGCTAAGGCAGAGAACTGGGTGTCAGGACATCTGGTTTCTATTCCCAGCTTTGCCACTGAATCATGTGACTTGGGGCAAATCACTTAACTTCTCTGTGCCTAAAATTTCTTTTCAGAATTTGAGGGTGAAAAAGATCTCTGAGCATATTGGAAAAAGGTGACACTTAAATACTAGCAACTGATTTTATTTTTTTAAATATTTATATATATGTCATTGTTTTGATACAACAAAGCATGTTAGAATGTATTTTTTAACTTTTAGAATGTAGAAATCCGTTCCTCTCAAAGAAGAAAGCTGCTGTGGAGTTTAAAGATGGATCCACAGTTGGAGTGGGGAGGAGGAATTAAATCCATACAACCCATGGTTGAATAAGAGGGCTTCTTAAAAATACTTTCATGGTTGTCTTAGATTATAAAGTGTATTATAAATCAACTTGAGTCCTTAACAGATAAATCTATGTGAATCTTGCTGCAGTGGCTTTTGTATTATTACTCTTAGATGGTCATTGCTGGGGATTACTGCCTCCTTAGCAGTCATAGTCATACTCAGCTGTCCTAGTACAAAGCTAGTATCTTAGCTTAAATGACCAGTGAAAATAGGTTTGAAGAAAGATGTTTACCTGTTGAATGAAACGGTAGGAGTATTGCGTACCTGCTGTTCTGTTGACTCTAGTATAGACTTTTGATCTCCAGCAGAAGGGTAAGATGGAGAGACCTGCATTTCACTGCTCCTTACTCTTTCTCTACCGTTGATAAAGGAATACCAAGTCTAAAAATACCCCCAACCAGACGTCTTGGTAACTTTTTGCAAACAAATCAGTAACTAATCTTCCCGTAACTAGAATTATTTTAAGTTCTAGTGATCATTGATACCTTTGTCTTCCAGTACCTATCTCATTTGTTACATAACCTAGTATCTTTTTCCACAGACTTTTTGCATCCTTCATTTTAACCCATCCATTTTTGGTATTTCCGCCTCCCACATCTGTCTGCAATTCAGTGCTTACATTATATATTTTGAGTATTACACCTCCTCTGTGTTTGTTTTTCTGTTTCATGCTATATATAGATCATATCCGCCTGTACTGGCACTGTTATGTCTTACTACACCAGGCCTCCATGATGCCAGTGAAACCCATCAAAGCAGGGAATTGAATGTAGGACGAATGTAAAAAAATTATGTTCCAAGAGATTTTAGATCAATTAGTTTCTAACTTTATCTCCTTATGTATGAGTTCTGATCTCTGTTGTAGGGTTATATTTGCCTTTTGTCTTAAATGACCCTATCCTTACATTGCCTAACAATTGTATTTCAGTATAGATCAGTACCATGATATCTTGCCTCCTTGGTTTATATTATTCTGTAGGAGAATTCTACATCACACGCCATTCAAATCTTTCTGAAATTCACGTTGCTTTTCACCTCTGTGTGGATGATAATGTACGATCTGGTAACATAACTGCTCGGGATCCTGCAATCATGGGACTCAGGAACATTCTCAAAGTTTGCTGCACACATGACATTACTACTGTTAGTATTCCCCTCCTGTTGGTGCACGATATGTCAGAAGTAAGTAAATGTAAAGGTTTGGTTGGGGTTCATCTTCTAGGATGCAACAAAAGTGATTTTTACAAACTGTATGTTTCATGCTGGTTTAAGGCAAATGGGAAAGTTTATCCCAGTCACGTGCTCCTACCACGTCGTTGAACTGGCTCCTCAGATCTATATGGTGACCCAGATTAAGGAACTGAACCAGTTAAAAACATTTCAGCCAGCTGAATCACTTTGGTTTTTTTTATTCCCACCCTGCATTTTGGACACGTCACTTCCTTGATCCAGCTCATTGCACAGTGGCACAAGTATTAATGAAAGATGGGACTACATGCCTGGAAGTCTTCTGGCAACAGCTCTTGCTTAGAAACTATACCTTAAGGATTGCTTTTATCGCACTAGTGATACCAGATCCCCTGTTTTAATTGTTGCTAGTTAGAAAACCATAAACTAAGTTTTATGAGCAGCAGAACTAGTGAAGCTTGGCTTGGAGTTCTGCATCCCTAAACACCACCTCAGGCCTGTGCAGCAGCAACCAAATCTTACCTTTGCTCTGAACTGTCTCCCCCTTCACTGCCTAATCACTTGCATCCTTATTTCTGTCCCTGTTTCCTCTCTAAGTCCCCCAAATATCAGCTAGGCAAGAAGCAACATATTGCTGAGACTCTTCATAGGAGCGAGTGTGCTTACTTATTGTGCTGAGCTTTTGGATTCTCTTCTTCAGTGGGACACTGATGCCTAGAGCTTGCCTCTTACTCAACTGTAACTTTTCACAGTGCATAGTAATTTAATACCATTGACAACTTCTTTCTTCTGTCACATCTGGGTCACAACATACTAGCAGAGAAGAGAAGGGGGTGGAGGGGCAGGGAGAGAAACAGTGGATAGGCAGTACAGCCCTATGCCTCACATCCTTAGGAGGTGAAAAATCTCTAAACCTAAAGAAATGAGAAAAATAAGATAATGCTGCCATTATTGATGCCCTTGGATGGATAATTATAGTCTGGTGTGGGTTTTTTTAAATAACCCTTTGATTTTTCATTTGTAAATTTCAGTACTACCTTTCCTTCTTTGCAAGTACCTGACTCAGAGCAAGATAAAGGCTCACCAGTGGATTACCTTTACCAGTGGCTTTTTTTAACAGAATTTGATTGGAACACAGTGTAAAAGTGGCCCCCTTTTTGCAAGATCAGGATCTATTATTATGCAAGTGCAAACAATGCAAAAGTTAAAAATGTCCGATAATGAAGCTTCTAAAGTATATACTTCCATACATAAAAGTAGACTTTTAAGAACAGATGATACTATTACCGAAATTTTTCATCTCTGGTATCAAGGCCTTTTTTTTGGGCACAAATTCAAGTAATCAACTTGCAGGACAGCAGCCTGGGTTACTCATGGGACCCAGTTAATGTTTTTCATGAATTTATTGACCTTTTTTCTTAATGAAGTTGCCATCTGACTATATTCTTTTTTCTTTTTTTTTTCTTAAACCTTGTTATTTTAGTTTTCATTTGCATATCTGCATTTTAAAATTCAAATAAAGCACAAGAGTAAGTGTTTAACATGCTTTGAGAGTATGTTGTTGATTGCATGTGTGAAACTGAAGAATTATCTTCTTGTTTAGTGCTGGGTTCTTAAAAGGTCCTGGTAAAAGAATTTATCTTTCCTATTAAGTTTTCAGTCTTTGCAGAGTAAGCAGAAAGTGACCTGTATGATAAGTGTATGTTTAGCCAAAACTGTATTGTGTGAATTGCATTAGCAGCATTGCTTATTACAGTGCTTTGCAGCTGGCTGACCTCATTTGAAACACACACATATGTAACTTGTTGTTGAGGAAAAAGTGAATAATAACAGATTTCTGAAAGTTAACCTGAACTTGGTGCCTTCAGCAGCCCCAGTTTTGAATCTGCATTTACCACCTACTTAAAAACATTTTTGTAAAGTGGTTAACCAGGAGCACAGCTGCAGAGATGTTTGCATGCTTCATTGTGACAGGCATTCATCATGAGTTTTCTCTGTGCTTTTTTCAAAGGTTTTCTTCTTTTGTAGAAGTAATGAGTGTATCAATCTCAGTGAAGCCATTACATTTCATTATTATTGGACCTTCATATAAAGCTGATTATTTTTCTTTCTATGAAAGAAAAAAAAGGAATTCTCTTTTTCTTAGTTTTTCTTATGATTAGAACAACAACAAAAACAAATTTCTTTGTTCTGATCATTAAGTTAAAAAATGGGTTTGATGCTTGAGAAAGGCAAGAGCAGAGAAGTTCAAATTCAGGACAACTGAGGCGTTACTGTCTGATCACTGTTCTGAATCTAATATAAACTGGGGAATGAAATGGCTGTAATAGCATCACATTGCTAAAAATGCTAGAGCTGGCACAATGCCTTGGTAGTTCAATATAGGAGTCATTGCTGCTGTCCACGCAGCAACACTGTGAAAAATGTGACTCTTCAGGAATCTCAGGCAGCTGTCTCTATTGCCATAAGTTAAGACAAAAATATATATATAAAAAAAAAAGTAAAATGAAGGGAGTATAAGCTGTGTAAAAAGTGTTTATGAGCATGGTTTATGTGTATAGAGAGATTATTGATGGGTGTATTAACCTCAAGTACTTCTCATCTGAGTTTCCTGCCTTTAAATATATCGTGTTTAGGATTTGCATAGATACACTTTGAGTAAACATCTTGATAATTCTTAACTTACTAAAATTAGCCATTGAAATTTTATTTGAAATATTTGTCCCACAAGACATTTATGGACTTTAGTGTTTTCATTACCTGGTTATGACATGGTTCTGCAAAGGTATAAGCCTTAGTTTTATAAAAGAGGCAGCCCCATGTAGTGAGTCTGTCACAAATTGGTTTGAATAAAAAGGTTTGCAGGATATCTTTCTAGTCAGTGAAGTTAGACACTTTTTTTTTTTTTTTAATAAACTTAAGAAATCTTAATTTGACAACAAATCATTGCATTCTAAAAAGCAGTGAGGTGTGGTCTCTGGTAGTGAACAAACCCAAAAGTTCCAGGTGTTTTTTTGCTTGCTTGAATGCTATTAACCAAAACCCACTATAGGAGATGGGGTACTCACTTTTTTCCTGTCCCCTGCACTGTATTTTGAATTAGCACTTAACTGATCCTTCATCACTTCCACAGGTGTTACTTAGTTTTCATATAGAGAACAATCCTGATAACATGGCAAAATCATGAGAACTGTAAATCACTACTGTGTCATTTTCAGTTCTTGTGGCTTGCACTCAGTGACATTGTGGATTCAACCTGTTATTTCCCTGAGTGCCCGCAAGATTTAACATCTACGTTCCTCTGAAATAGTCCAAGGAATAGTGTCATATCCTGCTGTTTTGATCAGTCCTTTTAAGGCTTAGTTCCCTTTATTGATTATGCAATGTACTTCTGAGCTGCCTTCAGAGCAACAGAGCCTTTCGTTTTAGACACCTGTTTTTTACCTAAGTCAAAACCGTGATCTAAGAATAAAGCTAAGAATAAATGTCTACATTATTTGGGACAGAAAGCACACAGAGTTGGATAAATTATAACAAAGACCAAGTATTTCAGCTTGAAATGGAAAAAAAAAATTTGTTCAGCATTGTTCTGTCTGATTAATGTGTTGTATAGCCAAAAAGCAGCATCTGTTGATGCAGTGATTTAGTGTTTTACATCATGAAATAAAGTTTTCTGAAAAGATATTTCTAGCTTATGCTGTTTTTAACGTGTGTTCAGGGGATAGCAGGAGAGACTCCCACCTAAGCAGGAACTTTGGCTTGCAGTAGTTATTTAGTGCAGCTGTGTTCACTATACTGTTTTAGTGTTATTAGTTGGCATTCTTAGATAACCTTGCTTCTCGAATAACTTTTTTTTAAATCATGAGATTAAGCTCTTTGAAAATTACAGATTGCATAGTGTTTGGCATTGCAAAAAAACCACTGGCTTTACTGAATCTAAAATAACATAAAGCATAAATTTGAAAAGGTACGTAGAATGATAAATTTTTTTCCATGTCTGTATTCCTGTATTCAGACTAGAAAGTCCTAATTTTAATGTTGAAGAGTACATCAGAATAAATAGGTACTATTTTCTTTCTGAGAAGTGTTTACAGTGACAGGCACTCTGTCTCTGACTAGGAGACTGTTCATCTTGATACAATTCACTTTGTACTGTACAGCCAAAGAATGTTTAATGTACTAAAGCATTTAAACTGTTAACCTAAATTATTTAGACCAGTGCTTGTAACCATATCTTAAGATACCTTAAACTAGTGTCTTCTTGGTGTTTAGGTAAAAATTATCCCATCTTGGTGTTTAGGTAAAAATTTGGTGTCTGTTTGTATCTGAAACTCTTCCATCAGATGAAGATGGATTTTGTTTGTTTTAGTTCTTAATATAAACGCATTTTTAGGGGAGAAGGGCTCCTACCAGTTCCATTGTTAGAGAGAAGATTTTTACTGAAGGTGGCAGGTATGCCAATAAACCTCAACCAGAATCATGAAGAATAGCTAGGAATCATAAGTTGCTGCTGTTAAGATGTGGTCAGGAGCCTATCTTTGTCTAGCTGAAGCATGAATCTGACAGTTACCCATTGGATATTATATATTTTTCTGAAGCTCCACAGGGGAATTAAAAAGCCGTATTTCCAATGACATTAATAGGATTGTCAACAAGATCTCATCTTAAAAATATATAGGTTGTTCTAACACTGGGCTCTCCTACCAATAAGCAGTGCTTTTATGGTCACCTATAAGGTGTATGCCACCCACCTGGAATACTCTGGAAAACTGAATCCCTTTTCAGAGCCTGTAATGCTGCTTGTATACCTCTTGGGAAAATGTGGTTCTATGGCAAAAAATGCATTCTTTTTAATAACTTCCCTGCTACTCTTGTTGGCTAGGTCCGTTGAAGCTTTTCGTTTGTTGATTTTTAGGAAATGACCATTCCATGGTGCTTGAAGAGGGCGGAGCTCGTATTCAAGTGCGTCAAAGGTACGTTAGTGAATTCTTCATCTGTTTTTTTTAATTGCATTTGGTGACATCCAGCCTTTTAGATCAGGCTGTATGTTTTCACCAAAAAAGGTGTTTTTCAATAATTTATTGTTTGTTAAAACATACGCTTGTATTTTCTCTTCAAAATTATTAGCCGTCACACCAGGAATAATTTCAGACACTTAGAGACTAAAAATGTTTCGAAAGTATCTTTACAATTTAAACAGAGAGAGTAGGAGAAAAGCCCTTACTGCTGCTTTGCGCAATCTCTGAAGGAGGGCAAGAGCTGGTGGTTCTCTGCAGCATAATTTTCAGTGTCTTTTGTACTTTTGTTGCCTGAAACAATGAGGACTCCTCACATTTTTCCAGTACTAGTTTTTATGCGAATTCATCTCTTCTGGAAAGTCCTCATGACTCAACTTGGTTTTCTGTCTTTCCAAGTGGTGTTATTGCTTTCTGTATTCTTATGTGCTGCACTTAAATACTTGCACTGGTCGTTCAGAGTATTTAAAATGTTAGTGGTGTTAATTTTCTTCCTACCACCTACTTGAGGAACTTCTTCCTATTGTGACCTCTAGTAATTCACCATGTAAGGTCATCCACATAGCCACTTTCATTAAACAAGTATTTTTCTGAGTATCTTTGTTTACCACAATTGTGTTCCTGTGGACCTTGTGGTTCATTTGTTGTAGTGAAGAAAAGCTAGCATAAAAATGCCATATTGTAACTTGAGCAGTAAATGAATACTGAGCTTTTTTCCTTATAAATTAGTCCAGGTAGTTTCTGTTGCTGACAGATTGTCAGTGTACTTTTGGCAACAGACTTGTTACTCATTCATGTGGATGTGATCATGTCAGAGCTAAAGGAAAGAACTATTTCTCAATGAAAGCAAGTCATTGAAAAAACTCATAACAGTCATATTTGAAGAAAACTCTTGCTTCTACTGGCTAGCACTGTGCTGTACAGTAGGACTGGTTATTCTGTTCTTCAAGGGTTTATTGATTTTCTCCATAACTCCTCATTAGATTTTCCAGTTAAAGCAGATCTCAGTGAGGAGACTGGCAAAGTCTGACTTAATGTGGTTAATGACATCCTTAGTTAAGGCATTTAAAATCCTAATTGTATGTGAAAACTCAATCACTGCTTGATAATGGTGTAAGTGATGGGGAAGATTCATACTCTATGCATCACCTATGCAATGCTGTTTTTCAGGTTTCATGATGGAAATGGCCTCATGGGATGGAGGAATTTCTCGGACTGTACAATTCTTGGTACCACAGGTACGTTAAACCAGGTTCATATCTAACCTAGGAGACTGTTGGAACAAGAAGTTAAATGTCAGCAGATCTAGGTTTGGTTTCTCTTGCTATACCCTGCTCTTTTTGTGTGAGCTTAAATTAATCACTGGTTTTGGTCCCTTGCATATAGAACAGGAGTAGGAGGGGTTTATATTTTTTAATATCCTGTGGTATCTTCTGAGGATGTTAAAATTTCAAACTGGAAAGTTCAGCTTTGCAAATTGTGAATACATCACCTTTGAAAAGGATACTTTTTTGCTGTCATTTTCTCTGAAGAGATGGGCTAACCTTGCGTTATGTCAGTTTAGGCATTTACTATTCACATCATATAACAACTTGGAAAGTTGCAATACACTGAGTTCAGTCATGCTTCCACAAAGTCATTTATGACTCCAGGTATTTGAAGTTAATTGTAATTAAGATTCTGAAATCATTTAATATGAAGTTCTAGATGATCTTCAGAAACAGGAAGTTTTCCAAAGATGGCCAGCACTAAGTTTTATTTGTTCTAAAAAGTGGTACTGGATGGAATATAAAAATCAGAGTTATGTTAGGAAAGAAATGACATGTATTTCTTGACAATTTAGTAAAGCACTGAGCAAGGAGGGAGCCAAGAATAAACTTAAGTAGTGAAGTTGAATCTAATTCTAGAATTCAGAGAGCGCCAGTCCTGTAGATAACAAACGGCACTGCCCTGCTTATGCTAGGCAGAAATAATCAATTACTAGAACAAGAAATCTACTGGAAACAGATACGTCACGTAAATATACAAACAGTATTTTTAGATCAATCTTTTTATTGATTTAAATAGAATTATAGTACACATTTTGAAAACTGTTGTCTTCTGAAGAACACCAGTTCTCTTAAATGTCAAGAAACAAAGTGGAGAGAGTCTTAATTCTACCAAACTGCAGCAAAAAGCCAAAGCTTATTCGTGTTTGTTTTTGTTTTTGTTTTTTTTCCAGACAATTTCTGAGGAAATGTTTTACCAACTGAGTAATATGCTCCCACAAATTTTCAGAGTGTCCTCTACACTGACTTTGACCTCTAAGCACTGAGTTTTGTGTAGCATTACGATGTATCCTGTTGACAAAGGATGAGATTACAGAGATTCTGGACGGGCATGTCTCTTTTCTGAGGGATGATGACCCAGAAGTGGTATTTGTTGCAATTTCAGGAATCATGTTGTCATAATAAAAGAAATGCTGTCTGTACTTGGGTGTTAGCAATTGATTTTTGCCTCTTGCTTTCTGTTTCAGCAAAGTATTAATGTTGAGTTCCTTGCCTTTATGTGAAAGACATTCAATATAACTTATTGTATGTAATCTACAGAAATATATAGGTGATTCTCATACCTAAGTAGTAGGAATAAGAGCTTATGGTAGGAATAGGATCTTTTGCATGAGCTTCAGGTTGTTGAGTTTTAGCAGCATTTTCTGAATTTGCTCAGTGACATTTAAAAAAATATGAACAATGTCAGGTGTCTCCTTAGAATAACTTTGATTTAATTTGTCACAGTTGTCTTTCCAGGGTCACAATGACCACAAGGTAAAATGTATTACTACCTCATTTTACTGTCACAAATGAAGACAGGAAATAAACATTTAACCTGCTGCATTTTGTAAAACACAGAAGCATTTAAAAAATATAAAAATAATCTACCTGTGATGAAAAATTGAATTTTTAATTATTATTTCTTCCTCTTTTTTTAGTATGTTAACTTTTTGATTTATTTCAAGATTTCACATTGACAAGTCTGTCACATGAATAACTTCATAGGAACACTGTAGTGTTCTGGACTCTATTGTACAGGTGTATTTTGCTGCTTATTAATTATTAATGTTTTGTGGCTAAACAATCTAATCACAAATACCTGAGAGACAACTCAAGATGCACCATGATGGGGGGCAGGGAGGAGGCTGGGAGCTGCTTTTCTCCCATCTTGGACAGTCAAGAACTCAGCTGTAGACCTAGGCGTCTGGAAGAAATCCTTCAATGCAGAGACTGGCCACAGGGAAAATCCTGTCTGAAACTGGGATTCTTGGGGTTGCCAGAAGAGTCAGGCTCACAGCGAAGTAGCTGGGGTGATGAAGGTCCCAGGTAGCTTTCTGAAGTCCACAGTTCTGTTCTGTAGGAAACACAGGGATCCTGGCAGAGCTGTCTTTGAATTTGAAATCTCCTTCTATGTATTGCTAAAATTCTGGAGATCCTGGAAGACAAGTAAAAAAAAAAAAAATCTATTTTCATTGTAATTAAAAAAAAATATTATTATTGTTGTCATAATTTAGTTTGATAAATGTGAAGATTGCAAAGTTGTGGTCTGGGGAAACTGCCTAATTTAGAGTTCGCCTAGAGAATCGAAGGAATATTAATCAGTTCATGATGTTTTTAAAGTCACTATATAGCTAAAGAACTCTTAGCTTAGTAGCTTAGTATTTTTATCGAGTCCTGCATGTTGTACAGAGGCCATGTAAGTGACACAGTAAACATCTATTGCTGAACTGTCAACTGCTTTCCTTTCCTCTGCCAGAAACTTCTCAAGAAGAATCATGCAAGTAGTGTGACCTAATTTGGTGTTCTAGAAAAGAAGGATGTAAATTCATCTAGAAGGAGCTGGATTAATCTTGTTAGAGCTCATTTTACATTGCTGGCATTAAGCTGAAATCAAACTCTGGTCCCAGAAAAGCAAGTGCTCTAACTGCTATTCTGTTTGTGAAAGGTGTGGTAACAGAAGTATTACATTTTGTGAGTTGTGAGACTTATCTGTGTTGTGGAAAAGGTCTGTGTTACATACTTGGTACTTTATTTTTTTACTTTTCTTTTTTTTTTTGTCAGTACATCTACCAACAAGTAGCCTGTGGAACACTGAAAGATCTTTAGCATTTTGCTTATACTTTTAGACTCTTTCGTAATAAAAATTATGCCTGAATTCTCCTGTTATCTTGCCAAAACACAAAGACACCATTTGATTTATTATGACTTGTGGAAAACTGGCAGTAGTTTCTAAGAAAATAATTAAGTTTTTTGCCTTTCATTTTTTTGTATCTGTGTTATTTCACTCCTTAGTGGATTACATATGAACACTTCAGCATTGGTCTAGGATAATAAAAGAACAAACAAGCTCTAGTGGTGAGGTTCTGGAAAATCAAAGTGGTAGGAATGGCACAGGAAAACTATTAATCCTGCTTAAAATTGTACTGAAGCCTGTCCCTTTTAAATGCTGAATCTTTGTCTAAAGGACTCTTGATATAACATCTATAGTTCTATAGTCTATTCCAAAGGAAGTAGTGCTAACAGCAGATTTTTAGCTGTCTACGTCAAAAAACAGAATATAGAGATGGGTTGACCTAAACTGTACTTTCTGTTTGATCTGTACCTGGCAACTGTACAGAACGGTAGCATACAAACTGCAATTTATGGAATAAAGCCATGTGAGAAATCCTGTTTGGTCATGAGAAGCTACTTGAGATTAAGAGGAAAATGACTCAATAGGCATGAGGTTTTCTATTTGTATATGCAGTGCAGCATTCCTTGGAAGGATGACAGTATTTAATGCCTTAAAAATGTTGTGTAAAATTGTACATGTAGCTTTTATTGAATAAATCATTCTTTCCACTAAGAGAAATGAGGAACGAACGCCATTGTGTAGCTTTTTTTAACCTGCTCCTAGTGACCAACATAAACTGCAGGTACCCTTTACAGAATCTGTACTGAGGTTATTATAAGAAAAAATAACTGTAGAGACTCTCAATTTGTCAAGGACATAGCTAACTGACCTTCAGCTATATGATCTGTGTCTGTTTGCTTACATGGTGGCTGATGACAAACAGGAGGAGAAGAATACAGATAGCTGAGAAACAAATTTACAGACCTCGGCTTGACCAGACGGCTTTTACCCTGTTGTAGTTCCAGAAATTTTACTGTTCGTAGATGTCACTGCCTGGATAGGTAAGAATTACGTCTGATGTCTTTCCCTCTGCAATAGTTCACTCTGGATAGCAGAATCTAAGTTAATGAAGCACAGCTTCAAGATTTGATTTTGTTACTTTTCTTGTTGTATGAGAGATGAGTGAAGCCACTGAAAGTTATTATGGGGAGAGGGAATATAATTTAAAGAAGGAAATTATGACAAAGATTACATGTTCTAACCCAGTTTTGTTATTTCTGTGAGTTTAAATGTTGATCAATTTATATGATCTGTACCTTATTTTCCCCTCATTAGAGGAAAGTTTAATTTATGCTTGTGTAGTATTTTGAGCATTAGTCTTGAATGTCACATTTACTCTTATTTCTTGCCTGTAGTATATCCAAAAAATACAGTGCTTTTCCCTGGTATTCACACCAGGTCAGAAGTGTAAAGAGATGCCTATTCTCTTCTTGTATCTTGGCCTCACTGAGGTATCAGGACAGACCATTAATGCTGCATAAAAATAAATTTATTACTTCATACTGTACACTGGATGTGGTAGAAGTCAGTAGCAACCACAGAAATGTGGTCCCATGGGACCACAGAATTAGAAGAGTATATTATTATGCACAAGTACAAACAACCTTTTTTCTTGTTGTGTAAGTTGAAGGGCTTGATTTTATGCCATCATGGCATTTAAACACTAAGTTGTAATCTTATCCCAACATCTGTAAGTAAGTGGAACGAAGAAAACGTGCATCACAAGGACCAGCACTCAGAGACCAGCCACAACAGCCATCAGAAGCAAGACAGTGACCAGTACCCTGGTAAAACTCATTACACTTGAGAGAAAGAAGGGACTACCTCCAGCAACAGGATGATATTCTGTACGTGGAGTCCTTAGAAGAGTATAGTCTGTCCTTCTAATGCCTTAAGCTATTTGTCAGCAAAATTGCTTTGGAAAGCTGGACTAAACCCAGAAGGCAAAGAAGTCTAGCAGTTACAGGTAGCATGGCCAGCGGACAGGATCAGTTCACCTGTCATAAGCTGTGCTACCCTTGTGCTTGCTGGTAAAACAGGCACCAGGCAGCTCCAACAGACAGAATGGGATAACACCCTTTGATCAAAGTCTGTAGCTTGATAGCAAATGTGGCCTTGGATCCTCTCAGCTAGAAAAGCAAATTGAACTGTGGTGTTGAACGTGCTGAGCAAGTGCTCAAATAGGTGAATTTTATATTGTGTGGGCCTTCGTACACGGGTAGTGTTTGCCAGGATGGACATCACAGGCTCAGTACATCTACCAGCCTGAGCCCCAGAGAGCACGTATAGTGAAGACAACCTCGGTGATCATCTGAATGAGCTCGGACATAGGCAGTGGCCCATGTGCTTGTTATTCTTGAAATAGGAATGAATTTATGAATGCTCAGAAGCAGAGCATTTATGTTCCTGGGAAAATTTTCATTCCCATGCTCCAGTACCAGGCACTTCTGTAGGTGGCTACAGGTTAAGCATAAGTGGCAGGCTCACAGCTTCTGAAGTAGGCATATAAATTGCATTTTAATTCCCAGTTGGAATGTGCTTGCTTTCTTTGCAGATGGTGCAGGCTGTCCTGGTGATTTTAGGCTATAAAGGAACCCGTAAGAAACCTGTAAAGCTCTTTTTAAGATTCTTTCTTGGAGATTAGTCCAGATTCTGGGTAAAGAAAAGTGATTCATCGTTCTTTATTTCCATTCCCACATCTGTCAGAATAACCTGAAAGAAGGAAAAAGAGTGTTCACCTTTTATAATAAAGTCTCCAAAAGACAAAAGCTGTTGAGACTAGTAAGATGTGAAGTAAGTCTTGCAAGCTATGACTCATTATATAAACTGTCTCATACAAACTATCGTATCCAAAGTCCGTTGCTTAGGAGGGCCTACCAACAGCATCATTATAGACAATGCTGCATGCAGCAGGAGTGACCCACCCATCATCTCAGACAGATATATCAGTGTACCCTGAGTAAGGAAAAAGATCTTTGGTCTGTTGCCTGTGTCTCACAGAATAAGCATGAGGAAGGTGGCTGTTGTCTGTGGAAGAGGAGAGAAGCTCTACCAGTCTCCAGGGATGCCGTCCTTGTCATTAGGCCTGTGGGAAGGCTGGGGAAGTGGATGACCTGCAGAGGTGATGGCAGCTGATACAGTGACAGGCGTCATATCTGAAGCAGTTGGGCTGAGTGGACAAGAAGTGGAGGGCATGCACTAGTCCTGTCTAATAATGGTATTAATGGGTGCAAAGCAT